ACTTATAATCTGTATTTATCTGCAGTAATGTACTTATAATCTGTATTTATCTGCAGTAATGTACTTATAATCTGTATTTATCTACAGTAAAGTACTTATCATCTGTATTTATCTGCAGTAAAATACTTATAATCTGTATTTATCTGCACTAATGTACTTATAATNTCTGGCTTTAGCTCGTCTTTACTTCTCTCTGAACTTTGAAGGGACCCGAAACAGTCGCACGCCGCAGATTAATGGAGAGAAACTCGGCTTTTGTAAAGCTGCGAGCGTTCGCGATGAAGAATGTGAAGGAAGTGATTTAAACGAGCTGCGGTGTTTGGAAAGATGAAGGGAAATTAGTCAGAGCAGTTTATTTTACGCAATCTGCCCTGGAAATTATAGAAGGGGAGGGAGTTTTAAACGAAAGATGTTGTAAAATTAAACTTTATTGTCCTCATGATGGACTGTTCCTGTGCTGCAGGACATTAAAAACAAACTGGCTTTAGTCATTTGGATTTTGTCAGTTCTAAGAGTTCTAAATCTGGGTGGTGAGGAGCCGCAAACACTCAAATAAAACTCCAACGTGGTTTTCTTTTGAGGATTTTATAGCTTCGTTGAACGTCTCTGTCTGGTTATGGAAATATAAATTTACAACCATGATCACGCATCAAGTCTCTGCTTGTATCGATTCCAGCAGCCGTGCACGTGTCCTTTCAGAATAAGAGCACCAGATATCGTTCCGTAAACAAGCTGAGCGGGACCTGGTTTTATTCTGTTTCTGTTTTGATCTGTGACAAAAGAGCAGCAGCAAAAAGGTCAACGTGAAGGTTTACAAGAGAGCAGTGAGACAAAGACATGGACAAAAAGACAGGAGACAAAGACATGGAGAAAAAGACAGGAGACAAAGACATGGACAAAAAGACAGGAGACAAAGACATGNAAAAAGACAGGAGACAAAGACATGGAGAAAAAGACAGGAGACAAAGACATGGACAAAAAGACAGGAGACAGAACTAGACGTGTCAGAGCTGAAGATGTTGAGGTTCTCCTTGAGACGGACAAAGATCATCAGAGGGACAACACAGGTTGAAGGACTGAGAGACAAAGTTAGACACCAGACTGAGATGGTTTGGATGTGTCCAGATATGAAGGTTTTATTCTGGTTTTTTTTTTTTTACATTTTGTTGTTATTTACATGAATAAATAAACAAATACATTTCCAGTATTATGTATTAAGTACTAAAACACTCATTACAACTTATGATCTGTATTTATCTGCAGTAAAGTACTTATCATCTGTATTTATCTGCAGTACAGTACTTATCATCTGTATTTATCTGCAGTAAAGTACTTATCATCTGTATTTATCTGCAGTACAGTATTTATAATCTGTATTTATCTGCAGTACAGTATTTATAATCTGTATTTATCTACAGTAAAGTACTTATCATCTGTATTTATCTGCAGTAAAGTACTTATAATCTGTGTTTATCTGCAGTAAAGTACTTATAATCTGTATTTATCTGCAGTAAAATACTTATAATCTGTATTTATCTGCAGTAAAGTACCTGATGGTTGTTTTATTTAAGACATGGTCTGCAGATTTTTGGTCCTCGTGGATCTTAATGTTTATAACACAAAGCAGCTGTGACTCAGTGGAAAAATGGTTGCATTAGATTTTTTTTCCAGTAAAGACATCCAGCAACAACTCAGTGGTTTAAAGAGCACATGCAAGAAATTACTGCACAGTTAGAGCAGTAGAAACTTGCATAATCGCCTCATTATGTGTGTATTTTATCCGTATATAAAACACAAAGCAGAGTTGCGTTTTAGAGGACCTGCTGTCAGCTCAGCCTGGCTCCACCTGTTTGTTTTTGTTTTTAATATCTGGAGTATTTCTTAATGTCATTTCCATTCCTTGTTTTCATGCCTTTCCTGCTGATTCATGCTCTGCGTTCTCTGAGCGTCCTCAGCTGCAGACGGAGCAGAGGGTTTGGATCGGTTACGTGGGGATGTGGCAGCAGCACACTTAATTGTTTTCAGATCTGCCGTGTGATTTTTTTTAAGCACGTATTGAGTTTTATTTATGTAGCAGAGCAGCGAGCTCACGCTTACACGGCCTGTTGTTTTTGACTCTTTTATGTGTGTGTGTGTGCGTGTGTGTGTTTTGTTTTGGGGAATCCATTTTGAATTGTAAGGTGACGCACAACAAGCCACTGACTTCTGCCTCTACCTATTTGGTCATATAGGGTTAAAGTTTTGTTTGTTTTTGTGTGGCATGTTCTTTAATGTGACCAAATAAATTCGTTCATTCATTCATTTAGATTTTAAAGAGAAGTTTGAATGTATAAACTGCATGATTCGGCTGCAGCGGTCTTTCAGAGGTCTCCTCTCTGCTCTGACAGCTGGTTTAGGAACAGAGGTATCCTCCTGCTACAAGGATGTAGCAACCAATAGTCTTAATTTTGACCCTCACACCACACCATACATGTTGTGTTGAGCTTATGTTATAAGGTGGGGATGACTCTCTGCTACTACCACATCAAATTCTAGCTCAATATTTCTAAAATTGACCGAGTTGTTGTTATTTTTGGGTTATCTGGTCAGTTTGACATGGCGGCCATCTTGATTCAGGCTGAGGGATTATTTCCTGTATCTGATCCGGTGTTTCCTGTCCTCTTTTGCCCTACAGAACCAGAACCGAGAGCCCCCCTCGGGTTCAGAGTCCGGCTCCGGAGCTGCTTCAGAACAAGGAGACCAAACAGTTGGCCGGGAGCTCGCCTCCCCTCGCCCGGACCTCCGCTCTCCACCGTCCACGCCGACCCGCCTGCCGCCGGCGCTGCCCGCCGCCGGGCCGGGTCACGAGGCGCAGGCGAAGACCCACCAGGGAAGAGCGGGGAAAGGTGAGCTTCTGTACCCCCGGGTCTGTCAGGAGCGTTTGTTACAAGCTGCAGCACGCCGGAGGAGCAGCTGAGCTGAAAGAATGCTGCCCTCGGGCTCAGGTGTGACGCTGAGTTTGGGTTCAAGGTTTTAGTATCGAGATGGAGACGAAGATATTTTTTAAAAACTTTTATATGCCTGTACGCCTTCTCCAGACCTAATCAAACCTGGAAATGTCAGTTTGCGTCTGTGATTGGACTCTTCTGAGCCACAGTTTGATGGTGGAAGCCTCCTGTTGTCGGTTATTAGAAATCAGCGAGGCGGTGAGCGGCTCGTGTGTCGGCTGGGATGAACTTCTCGAGGCCGCTCGGTAACACGACGCTCAGCCATCCGTGTGCCTCGCTGCTGCGCTGCATAGCTGTCACTGGTGTGAAACGTAGGCAGTCAGGCTGCAGACAGACACACAAACTCTGTGTGTGTGTGTGTGTGTGTGTGTGTGTGTGTGTGTGTGTGTGTGTGTGTGTGTGTGTGTGTGTGTGTGTGTGTGTGTGTGTGTGTGTGTGTGT